AGACGCACACAGCCATGATGGATTGTAAAAAAAAAAATTGCAAAATTTTTATACAGAAAATAATTAAAATCAATTATAAGAAATACTTAATAATAAGTATTTAAGTAGTATGTGGCTGAATTGCAATTAAATTTCTGTATATATAACATTTTAAATGAATGTTTTAATTTTGAACTTAAGTAACTTCCCTGCTTGTACTTGAACCTGACCTGCGTAAGAAAGTATATCGTCTGTGTACCGTCTAGACTCTCGGGTTTCTCTCAGAGAAACGTTTAAGGAGACTGGTATCATGACTGTGGCATCACAGTACATTTACTCAAATATTTTATATGCCCGTAAAAATATACATAATTTCAATAAGAAGATATCCATAATATTAACCTTAGAGCTAAGTCAATCAAGAGCAAACTCATGGTACCACGATTTCGTTTAACCAAGGTAAACAACTCTTTTATGGGGAACTGTATACGTTTTTACAATAAGATTCCGGAGCATATATTAAGTTTATCATTTCCTAAGTTTAAAAACTACATTAAAAATATTTTGATTGTTGTGTGTATCGCTAAGTATTCCTAAGTTTAAAAACTACATTAAAAATATTTTGATTGAAAAATCATATCACAAAATTGAAGACTACGTGTTAGATAAAGATGTATGGAAAGACGATACGGCTCCAGAATCCGCACAAATTTGATTCAAAGTGTATTCCATAGCATTTAAGTTTATTTGAAAAGAGCAATCCCTAGAGTTTCTTGCTCGTTCTTCTCAGAGGGAGGTCAGCGTAGTGAACGAGTAGTACCTTAAATGTGACGTTTTCAAGTGTAAATTTATTTTACCAATGGAATAAATAATCTTTGACTTTGACTGTGCTACAAGTAAAAAAGAATCTGCTTACCGACCATGGCTGTAATGGGAAGAAAAAAGGCCCGGGGGTTTTATTTGGGGCATTACAGTCAGGTTGGCCACCATGCAATCATACAATTTACGAGCAAGTGTAATGAAGAATAAATTTTCATGTTACTTAATTAAAATTATCGTAAAAGGTTCAGTGACAGTAGATCACGTCTAAAGAAAACTCTGTAATTATGTATGCTAGGTAATTGTAAAAACCTGACAAATAATAATCATTAACACACGTTAAAAAACAAGTTTATATCTTAACCTAGACATAATAAGCTGGTGAAATTAATATTACACAATTTAATCACCGAATTCGATAAACTTTAAACGTGTTATTCATAAATACTTAGGTACATATGCTCTGATAAAGATTGTAGCTATGAGGATCTCGATTTCGGGCGAAAATATTATCACCTCTTCTTGAGACTTATACCTATTTCTTCCACAAAGCAGTTTTGGAGGGTAACGAGGGTGAAGCTACAAGCATATTTTGCAACTTTATGTCTCAGAGTGACGGGTGCAATGGCAGGTCTCCCTAGGTTAAGGGCATGCCGTTTACCACCAGGCGTACGACTTTTTATTATTATCTTAAAAAGAAAATCTAGGCAACAGCTTTTGAACTTTCTCATTCGTTATGAACGACTTGACCAGACAATTATATAGGAAATAATGATAATATCAGCTTACACGCATCCACTGCTAGATATAAGCCTTCCCTTGAGCACGCCTTGTTTTTTTTTAATACTAATTGACGGGATGAACATAACAGTTGCAGAGCCACTTACGAGTAGAGCTTTTACTCGCAAGGATCTTAGGGGCACTGCCGCTGTGCCTAACACCCTGAGATATAAGTTGACAAGTCCCATGTGCCTGTAAATTCACCAACACCCTTACAAACCGGAACGCAGTAATTCTGACATTACTGCTTGGCGGCAGACATAGGTAAGGTGGCAGTACTTCCCTGGACGAACACTTTCAAAAGGAGCTCTCTGTATTTTATGTTCACCTGTATTACATACATTGCAGCCAATTCAAATATCTACCAAGTTTTGCAGCTGAATTGAAAAGAGCTAGAAGCGCACAGAGACTATTTTCAAGTCATTTGTAAAATGGCCGCCTCCTTGTGCCAACAGGACAGCCCGTACCAAATCCATTGGGTGCAATTACGTGTGTTCACAGTAGTAGTGAAGCTGTGCATTTTCATTCTTTAGAATTAGGTATACTTAGTTCTATTATCTTATGCTAACCTTATTGTTTTTTTTATAACATCAAGTGACGGGACGAACAGGTCGTGCGCCTGATGGTAAGCTACACGCCTGTCCCTAACAGTTCCAGTGCCACTTACACACGCTTTAAATTGTAAAGATCTAAGGGGCACTACCACTGCGCCCGTCACCATCAGAGATAAGTTGACAAGTCCCATGTGCTTGACCTCAAAGTAAGCAACAAAAGCACTTGTGTTATGGAAATCGCAAACAACAACTGCACCGCAAACACCCAGGCCCGAGACGATATAGAAAATTTAATTTTCTACTTGGTCCTGGCCGGGGATCGAGCTTGGGCCCTAGAGATGCTGACACCATCAAAACCGGTATGCAAGCCACTCGCACAGGTCGCCTTATTCGTATTATGAACGTCTGAAATAAATAATTAACTCATTGAAATTCTGCTTTTTCCTTAAAATTCTTTACTTCCACGAATTGCATAAGTGCAAAATAAAAAGCTTGAAGTTGTAAGAATAGCTGATGACACTGTTTAATTACGGGACAGGGTAACTGGCAATTGCCTAGGGGAAGGGTAGGTGAACCTGTGTCTTCGAAGACGGTGATTCTTCTGATGAAGTTCCTATTTTCGTTTATATAACAAAATAGTGAACATATAAAAAGGAAAGAACAATTTAAAAATTATTATCAAGATCGAATTATGTGTTTGACTGTAGTGTGCAATGGATGCTGAAGAATCCATTTATGTCCTAGATTTACAAAAATAGTTTCTCTCCAATCGCGACAACTTACGAAGTGGATATTAATTACATATTTCATCGTCAACTTACTCGTACACCCCACTACTGTGCACGGGTCTCGTCTCAAGCGTGTCTCATGGTAATTTTCAAATCAAATTTCGCACATAAATTTCGAAAAACTCAGTGGTGCCAGCCCGGATACGAACCCACGGCACTCTGCTTGGGAGGCAGTAGGTCAAACCATTACACTACCACGGTTTCAATATATTTATTAATATACAAATACAAATTTAAGAATTATATATAGTAGGTTACAGTGTTACGTAGTTATTTATATATGTTGGTGTGGTTGTACGCAACCGAGGTCACAGGCAACAGCTAGTTACGTAAAAGTTACATCACTAACGCATAGTTTTCGTACTATCAACGTAGTTTTGGTGTGTGACGATGATAGAGTCTGTTTCTGTTAAGGAGAAGCTCTGTAAAACAAAATGTTGAATAAGACGCCTTTCACTGTACTATTTGTGCCATTGTTTACAAAAACAACATTTATTATATTAAATCATTCTTATCGAGTTGTCGTACAAATTAAAACTTAGTATATTTATTGAGTTTTTTTATTTTTATTTTGTTCATGGCATTATGGAGCTATTTTCAGAAAATAGAAAGGTTTTGTTTTTGTTTCTTAGTTTCTTGTCTATGGGATGTCATATGCACACGCTGCGTTTCCCTGTTACTAGAATATATACATTACTGGTATGGTTATTAAAGTTTATTACGTTGAATATTGTACATGTTCTGTTGGGATACCAAATAAATAAAACGTATTCTTAGGTTTTTGCGATTGTTAAAGCAAAGTACCTTTTTTCACTATAGGTCAAGGGCGTTCGCGTAATATATAAATCTAGAAAACTCGGACCCACTTTGGATGTCATGATCCCTGTAACATCGGACCGTCATCTTTTCTTACTGGTAGTAGAGCTCCTTGTGAAAGAGTTCGTCCAGGGGAGTCATAAATAAGCCAAGCAGTATAGCGACCATTATTGCGATCTGGTTTTGAAGAGTAAGGTGCTAGTGGAAATTACAGACACATGCGACTCCTCAACTAATGTCTAAGGGTGGCGGCCGCAATGGCAGTGCCTCTCAAATCTTTGCGATTTAAAGCTTTGAGTGGCACTGCAACTGTTACGGACAGGCGTGTCGCTTAACACCAGGCGCACGACTTGTCCGTCTCGTCACTTAGTATCATAAAAGAGTTACCATATATATCTTATTTTTAAAGTACCAACGGAACACTGGTTTGTTCGAAAAAAAGAAACAAATATTCGCAATTTAGATCCGGAAAAAATCTTTCATTTTCAATATGTACGCTTATTAAAAGGTATTTATTTATCACAGGACACTTTCATAGTTGTTTTTTTATATTTTTAAGTACACTTTGTTTTGATCAACTGAAAACTAAGCCATGCAAAACTTCTTTACTTCAAGAAAGTGTATTTGTAATGGCTTCAAAATTGGAATAATTACATAAAATTTAAGTCCCTAGTAATTATTTACCTTAATGATTTTTTTTTTCTTAATGAATGGCTTGTGAGACTACATAGCCTCAATTCTGCCTGTATCCGTTTTCTAGCTTCATAAACGTTATGGACGGTGTGTTAGAATTTTGTTCGGTGAGTCAGAGGGAGAATCGAAGAGGCTTTTGCACAAACCTTAATGATATAAAATTCTACATTAATGGCGACATTTGTTTCAGTGTTGCCATTTTATTTGTTTTCTTTTTTTAGTCTGGGCAGACCTGCCATACTTATTATTTTTATATTTCATTCTTTGTTTTATTTAACTGATTGGACTGTATGTATATAGTACACATAATTATCGTACAAACGTCTATGCAATTATGACGTCTTTGTATGCCGCAAGGTGATTCAAAATGCATTCTTTTAACGCTCATTAGTGACATAAAAAAGCAGTACATTTGTCATAATTCTGTTGTCTTTCCATTTTTAAATTAAAAACTGAAGTATTTTAACTCTAAACGACTTCTCCTTAAGTGTGCAGTGATAGAGTTACGGGATTATACAGAATCCGTCATTTCTCGGTGATACCCAAATTGGAGTAAACGCTTCCTTCCACCCACTAAAAAAAAATCAGTGATAAATTTTAAAATTGTCATTATCATTTGTAACAACAATATTTTTATCACATTCATAACAGTTCGAAAGTTATTTAAACTTTAAAAGCTGTATCACCCGAAAGGCCGCAAACTTGAACTTGGTTAATGTTTAAATATTATTTTAAAAGTGTATTGACTCTTTGTGAACGTGTGTTGCGTACTTAATATATAATACGTGGCACGGATACTCTCAGGTAATTATAGTGAAATTTTTATCTATAATAAATTCATCATCATCAACCCGTTATACTTTCCACTGTGGGGTTTAGGCCACAGTCCGCCAAGCGACTTCACACGTCTTTTTTTCAAGGCCTTTGACAGAGTCTGGCATGCAAGCCTTTTAAGCAAGCGTTCCTCTTATGGGCTTCCCACTGACCGTTGCAATTGGATTTCAGATTTCTTGAGTGAACGTTCGATTCGAGTGGTCTCAGAAGTCTACTCTTCCGAACATCGCGCGATAGATCCTTTCTTCGTTCCTCAGAGTTCTGTACTGTCCGCAACCCTCTTTCTGCTGCGTATAAACGATAGGTTGATTCCACCTTTGGATGTGCTGATGACAGCACAGTTATGGACAGGTACTTGACCAACGCAAGGGTCAGTGGAGAAGAAATCCAGTCTTGTCGAGAGTCCATGGTTCGTCGTTTGAATTTGACACTTAAGGCAGTCTCCGACTGGGACGATGCCAATCTTGTCAAATTTAATGCTATCAAAACGCAGGCGTGTCTTTTCTTCACTAAACGGAGTACCTTTCACCTGACTCTGACTTTTCGTGATATATCCATCTTCCGACCATCTTCACCTACTTGAAATGGACCTGTCGTCCAATCTGAACTTCGGCAGATACATTGAATCCATGGCCAATAATGCAGCCAAGAAGCTTGGCATCCTTTCCAAGGTGAGGCGATACTTCTCGCCGGGATAGTTGCTTCAGCTGTACCAAGCACAAGTCCGGTCGTGTATGGAGTACTGCTGCCACTTATGGAATAGCTCTGCTAAATACCAACTGGCCACCTTGGATTCAATGGGCAAGCGTGCTAAGAGGCTTATATTTGACTCGGAACTAGTAGAGGCGAAGCTGCAGAACCTTGCATACCGCCGTAGAGTTGCCAGCTTATCGGTATTCTACAGGATATATCACGGAGAGTATGTGATGGAGTTGCATAATTTGATTCCGCCTTCCCCTTTCCATCGGGAGACTAGACGTGAGCAGGGATTCCACCCCTATGTTGTGGACATTCCCCAGATTCTCACGAAGCGTTTCGCTTCCACGTTTATATGGCGAACGTCAAAGGAGTGGAATTCCTAGCCTGCAGACTTGTTCCCTGAACGCTATAACTTGGACCTTTTCAAGTCGAGAGTGAATAGGCATTATCTAGGTGTGCATGCTCCATCATCGACCTCATCGTCACTTTCCATCAGGTGAGATGGAGGTCAAACGCGCACATATTTTTTTATAAAAAAAAACGTTGTCCAAGAGTTGTTTGCCGTGAACCTTCTCCAACTCGCAGGTTTCTTCAAAACATTAACTAGGGTATTAGAAACTGAAGTCATTACCACAGGAATTTGAACCGTCGTTCTCTGAGTTTTCCCACTTGACTCATTTTTATCTACCTCTGCAACAGTAGCAGTAGATCTCCTTGTGAAAGAGTTCATCCAGAAAAGTACTGCCACTTTACCTATTTCTGCCGCCAAGCAGTAGTGTGAGTATTACTGCGTTCCGGATTCGAATGGTGAGGGTGCTGATGAAATTACAGGCACATGGAACTTTTCAACTTACGTCTCACGGTGACGAGCGCAGCGGCAGTTCCCCTCAGATCTTGGGCGTGTCGCTTGCCAGTAGGTACACGACTTGATAAAAAAAAACTACTAATGTACTGTAAAAAATGTTAAATACTCGATTAGGCATTTCCACATTCTTTACATTTATATATTATATAATTTGTAAATTTATTTCGAGTAGACAGAAACAACCGTAAAAAGCTGAATAGATCACTACCACTGGTTTTTGTCATCTAAGTACACAGAAGCTGTACAAACAACCGTTAGTGTAAGATTTTTGTTTCACCATAATTTTAAACCTCGCAATTGGCAAAGCTTTTAATATCATCAGTAACCTTATTAATTAATTAATAATAAGAATTAGATAGGTTTGTTGTACTAATTATGCCTGTTACTACTTTTCATGAAAAAGTGCTATGACGCCAGTCTTTTTCTTCGAGTCAATGACAAAAATCAATAAAAAACCAGTGTTATATGTCTTTGGCTCGGAAAGCATCCATCTCTATGCCCCTATTTCATACCTTTAGCAGGTCTTCGCGGGTGTAGCTGATCAAACACAGCGGGCATGAAACCAAGTGAGACGTGCTTTGTGTGGGGGATCTGCATGTGCAATGGTTTTGTTTCGGGTTGATATATTCCCTTTCACCATATTGTCTCTGCATCCGCCAACTTGTGATCTGAGATAATTCAGGGATTCCCATATTGACCACTGCAACTCAGTCCGTTGGGCTACTTTCTAAAGCGGTTGTATGTGGAAGGAAGCTCTTAATACTTGATAGTCGTACTGGTAGGAGTTTATGGCCGAATAAAGGGTGCCGACTATCAACTTCCTGCTTTAGTTTCTCTACTTCACATGCTATCTCGTGATGTACAGTATGACGCCAGTGTGTAACAATGTTGATAGCCCTAACAGCAAGTTTCTGCAGGACCATCTCATTCTCTTGAATACAAATTTTGTAATGTGTAAATGTTTTTATGTCTATATAGATACCTATCGGCATATCAGTTGTCATAGGTAATCTATAAATAAGCTTTACAAATGAGTAATAGAGTTTGATCATTTCAATATAATTTGGTAATTATTATAATTATAATTTTCTTACTTAAGAGAGAGAGAGATACGGGTCACTCGCCTATCTCCGTTCTATCATCGGGGGATTAGACTCAGCCTGGGGTCCATTTCTATGTTTCATACCTACCCAAGATTAGCACGAAGTTTTACGCTTCTGCATTTAGATGGCGTACAGTATAGGATTCCCTGCCTGCAGATTTTCAAGGCGAGAGTGAATAGGCTTTATTTAGGTGTGCATGCTTCATTCAGACCTCATCGTTACTTTCCATTAGGTGAAATGAAGGTCAAATGCACATATTTTAACCATAAAAAAACATATTTTTATTTTGCCATACTTATTTGAGAGATCTCTTTATATCTCTTATTCTTTCGGAATCAGAACTACAACTTTTAATAAATCGCGACTGAAAGCATTAAACAAAAATCACTTATCTCTAGACAATAGAGTGATAATGAAATCAAATGAAACATATTATTATCAATGCTTATTCGATGACCCTATGACCCCCATCCGTTGAACTCGCGTAAGGACGAAGGGACGTGCACTTTCGGGCAACGCGGGCGCAGAAGCTGCTTATCTGACTTCGTTTATCAACAAAATATATATTCATATGATTTTTTCGTGCTAGCGGTAATGATACTGTATTGTTTAAATACCACTGTTGGACACAGCTACCAGTTCAATTTCCAGTAAGTGATGGTGACGACAGGGAATCTGACCCCCAAGTCTCATAGTTTTAAAAACACAAGCCTTATTGTTTTCAGCAAAACGGAGTAACAAAAAAGTGGATAATTGTGACACCGAATTGTAGATGTATTTAAGTCCTATACTAAAAAGTACACAAAATCCAGAGATGTTAAAAATTTTTTAGCTCAGAAAGGCTTTCTTTCTCATTAGAAATCTGCGCGCAAAAGCGTTTTTTGCGCGCTAACATGGAAAAGGTTTTTGAAATTCCAACTTGACGATGGATTGAGGTGCACCTACCTTGAAAACGATGAAAAAAAAGATAATGGCACGTTCAATTAAGCGATTTATCGCACATTACTTATTTTCAAATTCAAATTCAAATTCAAAATAATCTTTATTTCATAGGTAAGCATTATTACACTTGAAATCGCCACAATGGTTAAACTCTACCGCTCATTCGTGAGGCAGATTCCCCTGAGAAGAATGAGCAAGAAACTCTAGGGGTTGCTCGTTGTAAATAACATTTACAATATTTTTTTTATTTGAAACATCAGAGATCGACACTGCCTCCATGAGCTAAACGGGTACTACCACGGATTTTTGTCATCCAAGTACGCAGAAGTTGTATAATAACCTTTAGTATAAAGTTTTTGTTTCACTTGATTTTGTTTCACGTTGATTTATGTAACATAAATCCGTTGGTATATTTTATTCTTATTATTGTTCACATTAGATTGGCAATGATAACTAATTGTGTTTAGTAAATTATTTTAATTCGTCGAAGAATTAAAATAATTTCAATAATCACTTAATCACACAAAATAATGATGAGGTGTAAATTCAGAACGCATCCGAAGATAAGCTTTTTTCCTTTAATTAAAAAGTGATGTTCTACTGTTCTCTACCAAAACTTTCATCTACCATTTTCATCGCTTTAGTGACGTGAGAAGGTGTGTTTTCGGCAGCAAAGTTGTTTTGCATCTCGTGGCTTGAAACCCTCGCTACGCTCATGAATCTATATTTGAACCTCTTAGCTTCCGTCTCTTGCTGTGATTTCAATACAAGCACTCGCGGCAAGAAAAAACTTATTCAAATGTTATTGCACACAAAAGTTTGTCAATTATGAAGTTTTAAAATGAAACAAATTAAAGATAACGGATTTTTTACACTTATAGAATTAAATACTAATAAATAATACCTTCCCTTGATGTAATAAAGCCTTTGCATCCTACGTCAAGAGTGCTTTTATGAGACGCAAGCCTATATATTTAAGAGTACATACTATCTCAGTTCGAATTAAAACGTTTCCCGTACTAATACGGTTCATTTTGCTTAGGTAGAGCGGCAGGGACACTGGCTGTATTTCAGAATTTACCTTTTTTTTACAAACGTTGCTATACGTATTCTATTTAGTACAGTTGATATTAAAATAATCATTGGTATATGTGAAGTACCCATTGAATACAGCGGGTTTTTTGTAAAATTTCGATATAATTTTGTGTTTTTTTTCTATTGTAAAAATTTTTTAGAATCGAGTTTTCACACTGTATTGTGTGTCTCCTCAATTATTCCATATATTTTTTTCCAAAGTGATTTAACACTTTCACTGTATGCGGAATCAACCAAAGTCGTTATAACAGTTGCAGTGCCACGCAGAGCTTTAAATCGCAAAGATCTGAGGGGCACTGCCACTGCGCCCGTCACCCTGAGACATAAGTTTACAAGTCCCACGTGCCAGTAATTTCACCAGTACCCTTACCCTTCAAAACCGGTTCTCAATAATGCTGACATTGCTGCTTGGCGGCAGAAATAGGTAAACATGGCTTACTACTTAGTACTTCCCAGGGCGAGCTCTTTCACAACTGCTACTAAACTTTTTTTAGACTAGATTTATACAAAATGATGACTTTTCTAGTTGTCATTTTGCTTGCCTGGCCTGATTTACATGAAATGCGCTAATTTTACTTTCATATCAAAAATCTACAAACACAACGTGAACATTTTGTGCTTGCGATAAAGCGATGAACAAAAAATGCAGTTACCATGCATTAGTTTACTTACAACTAACCAAACAAACGAAAGATCAAAGCAAATATTATTGAGTACAGTTCAGTCAGCAAATATTATTCAAGGAAGCGATGGAGAACCCAATCCAAGGCGTATACTTCATATTGAATTAAAATGATTTACTTTTGGTTAACATTATGACATTTCATATTTTTATTAAAAAAAAGACATCAAAAGTTCGTGGAAATACATCCATTTGCCATGTTTTATTGAAATCGGTTACCGGAAAGTGCTTGATGGATTCATGCTCTAGTTTGCCACCCTTTGAGGTCGATGGGACCAAGGCTCAGGTACCCTCTTTCCCACAAAAACGAATCACCAAAATTGGTTCACAAATTCGGCCAGAGTAATTGCGTAACACACACAAATATATAGTCGAATTAAGAACCTCCTCTTTTTTCGAAGTCGGTTAAAAATAGCTATGGTTAAGAGAGGTAGTACAGGCCGTTAATTAGTTGGCCAAGAAGTCCGTGCGGTATTTGCCAGCATCTTTAATGAAAAAGAACTTTTTTAAAGTATATGGACTTGCTCTTTACCACTACGTACCCCTGGAGCAAAGACAGGATCTACGATGGAACGAGCTCGCCCAGAAGATGCCTGTTTAGTCGCACCTTAAGATGCTCAGGTTGTATGTGCTCGATACCACAGTCGCAGGGCAGGGAATTTCATTCTTCGGCTATGCGCATAATAAAAGATCACGAGATGAAGGAGACCAAGAAGAAAACTACTTTCTTTTGAAATGTCTTGAATTATATTGTCTATGATCATTTTAAAAGTAATATTTTAGGCAATTTAAGAATAGGCGGGAAAGTGTACGGGTACAAAACTGGTGATGTTAAAAGTGTTGTATTTTATCATAATAATGCCAGCTACACACATCTTTACAAAGCCGTTAAAGACTATTGCCGATGGGTTCAAATGGAGACCTCACCCACCGTATTCGCCCAACGTAGCTTCTTTAGGTTGTCACTTGTTTCGGTATTAACAAATTTTTTACAATATATACGACTTTGACAACGAATAGATCACCAAACTACACTTGAAGATGTTTTTTATTAGTACCGATAGGAAGTTTTGTTACCTTTAATAAAGTTATCATTTAATAAATCGTTCTATAACTACACAGAATACTAAAATATTGTTATCAACGTAGTCAATACATAACTGATTAGAGTTTGATATTATTTTTTTACCCGTTTTTCGTTTATACTTTGATACCGCACGGACTCTTAGGTCAACGCAATTCCTCAAGAGGTTTATGAATGATTTTGATAACATTATATAAATAATATAAAAGTAGGTACTTTGCCTTACCTTATACAGCAAACAGCACTCATATGGTTTGGAAATAATTTTTTCGATTTCTTATGTCCATATATGGCTGGCTAAAAAACTGTATATTAATGATAACAATAATGGTGACAGCAACTCTGACAGTAATAATAATAATGATTTTATTATCTCAACACAAAAGGAACAGATCTTACATTAAATGAAGTCATGCAATGTTACATAGGGCGCACTATGAGTTTCCGGAACTGGCCACTTACATAAACAATATTTAAAAAGTAATTACAACATTTGAAAATGGAACTTGGCTATAGAATACGGTTTGTTTCATCTGACTGTCACTTGTTAAATTTATGTAAAAAACATTGTGGCGTCATTTTAGAAATTAGTTGTCTTCTATCACCATGGATTTATCTTATGAAAATTTTCGTAGTATGATTTTCTCCGACTTTGAGTGCAATTTAACAGCTCCGCGGAGCTTTGCTCGGCTTCAAACTGCTTTTAGCGATAAAGCACCATGCAAGACGACTATTTGTAGCTGATTTGCATGTGTGTGAATCTTAGTGACGAATTTCGTGATGGTCGCCCGTCCACTACTGAGTACAACAAAAACATCGATGCTGTGCGCCGTAAGATCAAAACAGGCTGGCATGTGACATACCATGAGATTCGGGCATCTTTAGGCATAGGCATGAGTCAAATACAATCAATACTAAACAAACATTTGGGTGTGAAAAGGCTGTGCTCTCGGTGAATCCCACACAATTTGACTGAGTCTCAAAAAGGATCGCGTCACTTGGTGCAATGCTATGCTTACCAGATTCAATGAAGGGGCGTCAAATTTGATGTGGGACATAGTAATAGGTGATGAAACATGGAGTTACGATCCCAAAACAAAGCAGCAATCGAGCGTATGGGTTTTTCGAGATGAGCCAAAACCGATCAAATTGGCGTGCGTGCAAAGTGCCTCTAAGCAGATGATTGCTTGTTTTTTTAATAAAACTGGACACGTGGCTACTGTTGCTTTCGAGAATCGTTGTACCGTGAATAGTTTTTTTTTTTTTTTTTTGGTACACGACCATTTGTTTGCCGGAAGTTATTGACAAATCCGTAAAAATAACCGTAAACGCTGTATCGTCTTGCACCACGATAATACCAATTCTCACATAGCCAGACAGCCGAATTTTTGAATGTGAACAACGTTTACTTTATGAGCCATTCCGCGTACAGTTCCGACCTGGTACCTCGTGACTTTTATTTATTTCCAAAAATTAAGAACCAGTTACGCTGTCAACGATTTCCATCACCTGAAGAGGCTGTCGAATAGTATGGAAAATATGTTTCAGAGATTGTCACGGAGGAGTGGTATAAATGTTTTCAAAATTGGTTCATTCCTATGAAAAAGTGCATTAACGCTATCGGAGAATATTTTGACAAACAATAAATTCATTTCTGACCATTTATAGTATTTTTTCTTATTCATTCCGGAAATTTATAGTGCACCCCATGTACAGCTTACCATGTCCTTACCACCTCAGTCCAGTCTTAAATAAACATAAACCAACTGTTAGTTTTAACGAGCAAATGGTATTCTTTAATATTATTCTTCAAAAGTAACTAGTATAATAAGCTATTCTACATTTTTTTACAGATGCTGATTTTTTCCAAATCTTCTGAAATGGGATTTATCACCCAATTCAATGGAAAGCCGATAATGGCTAGCAGAAGTGAGATGTCTATTTAATTAATAATTACTATTATAACACATAACTTGCTATTAATAACAAAATAAGGACTTTAATAACAGTAAAAAGCTCACTGCATAATTTATTTCTAAAAAATGTCATCAATAATAATAAACATATGTCTCAGTAGCATTCCTTGCGGTACACCCTTTTGTGTTCGCTTTACTTGCGTCACTAATGTAATGGTATAAAAATTGGTTTTCCAGAAAAAGTGTTTATTTTCTTCGGTTTGGGGATCATTTGTTTAACATTAGCAGCTGCATTGATATTTACTGATCCCATCCTCGCCATAGCCAAATACGTGAGTATCCAAAGCATTGGATAGATTTTCTAAAGCAATAAATTGCTAATTCATTAATTTACAAATTTTGCACAATATATTGAGTGTTTTTTTTTAAATGAGACTACGGGGAAATCCGATACTATAGAAGATACAAGGAAACTGTCTTAGGAACCATTAATTATTTTTTTGTGAAAACGATTTTGGAATAGTCAGTTTTTTTTCAAGCGTGAGTTGCACTTAAACATTAATAAAATTGATCAAAACTTTTTTAATGCTACTCGACTCATTTTTATGAAGGAATCATTTAATTGTACAGAACGTAAAAATCGGGACAACAGAAGTTGGTCAAATTTAGAAAAAGGTTTTTTTATACAATCATGTCGTTGTATGGGACGAACAAAAATCACGTTTTTTCTTACCATACAATTTAATGATCTCCCAATGAAACCAATTAATACTAAAAAAATTTTGGTCATTTTTATTAATTTTTATGCACAACTTACGGTTGACCAAAAAATTTACTATGCCAAATTGTTTTCCCAAAAAAAGACTTAGTTCCTAAGACGGTTTATTTGTATCTTCTATGGTTTCGGGTTTCCCCATATTGTCCCATTAAAAAAAACACTGTATATCTCCATGAAATATATGGTATACTTCCGGCACAATTTAAGGAAATATTGTTGTTTTATTCTTGATATTTCTTTATCAATTGTTTATTATTTTATGTGAATTGTTTTACATACAGAGATGTGTCAAAAATTACGGTACTGATTTTCAAATTTCATAAACTAATTAAAATACCATGAAAAATATCGTAATAAAATGTACACAAACTATTGGTTTCGGTAACAACAACGAAGACATAAAACTGTTTCAGAGAACACGAGTGGCGATAAATTCAAGAGTGCACGATCTCATGAAAGGTCCAGTTACTACTGTTCACATCTCAGTGTACTTGTTCAACGTTACCAATGCGGAGCGGTTTATAGCTGGCGAGGATGAGAAGCTAAAGGTTGAAGAAGTCGGACCTTTTACTTACAGGCAAGTTGCTTTTCTTTACGTCACCAATTAATGACTTCTTTGTGACACATAATTTAACCGGATTTAATTCCTACCCGTGTAACTTTGCAACTGTTGTTGAATATAATAATAATAATAATAATAACAATAACGCACACACTCATAGCCCCGCACTAGGGAAACCCTGTATCGCAGGTACCATACATATTCATACAACGTGAAAGAATAAGTAATAACAGATTTATAAACCTACCATACTGAAAATTATTAAAAACAACGGACTTCAAAACATTGCTTACACATATGTACAAACTTAAACATTGAAAGTGAGTGAAATCCAAAATTCGTCTTTGAATGGGATAGCAAAAAAGAATCATAGAAATCGAATCACAAATGTCGGCGTAACCGCGGAATATACACCCAAAAAAATTACAGCGGAATTGAGAACCTCCTCTTTTTTAATTCGATTATAAATAGGTGCATACTTAACTAGAGTGGTGGGTGACCCAATGAGAAAGTGGTTGCTTCGGAATTGGCGGCAAATGTGACATTAATTGATAATTAATAAGTTACCTTTCTTCGCTTTCGTATCACTCTTGACATAGTTGTGGTCATCACGGATTACGTTTGTTAACGGCTGATGTAGCTTGCCTCACGACGTCTCGTCATCTCTCTCTTTTAGTGAACTCCCTCGTGCACTCATGTAAAGGACCGCCCACTGCAGATTTCATTTGGTCGGTCCATCGAATGGGTGATCTTCCGCGCAGTCTAGTGCCCTCCATTCTGCCTTTTACAACATGACGCTATATGGAATCAAAATTCCACCTTGAGACGTGACCGAAGAATTTTACACTGTAGTAGACAGACACTGCTTGATGCCAAGTTCTTGGAGTATGGAGGCGTTTGAACGAAAGTTTGTCCACGATACCACAAGCATTCTTCTCCAGCACCACATTTCCAGAGCGTCTATCTTCTTCTCCTCGATTTCACGGAGCGCCCGTGTGCAGCGTACAGAAATACGGAATAAACTAGTGTTCGGGCTAGCCAGATTTTAGTGGCCTTGGTAATGTTTCTATTCCCCCATATTTTCAGCAGTTTATCCATTGCTATTCTAGATACTGCCATACGTCTTTTCACTTCATCTACGCATCCACCAATGTTCGAAATTAAAGCTCCAAGATATACGTAGGACTGGACCACATCACAGTTCGCAATGCTTGTAACTTCCGGCGAATTATGATTAACGCGATCATAAGTTAGATAATAAGTTATACACGTTTGTAAATGTCAAGTAGCAATACCTCTCGTTAACGGTAAATTGTTATGAAACCTGCACGTCTAAGAAGTTTCACAATCCTTGGAAAACGTATGAAAGCCCCAACCCACATTGGAACAGTGTGACGGACTATGGCCTATATTCTCACCCATACCCATCAGAAGTCTAATGGATTGATGATGATGGCGATGCTGGTGAATACATATTACGTAGAATTATATTATCGCCACGTTAGTCCACCAGCGTTGTAACATAGACTTCCACGTTGCCTTGTAAAATCTTATTTGGAAATATTTTACGTTTGATGTCTTCTTTTTGCTTACAGAGAGGATAGAAAATTTGATAAACTAGAAATAGACGAAGCGGCAGGTGTTATGCGATACAGCCCTCGATTCGACCCCGTGTTCATGCCGGAGGAGTCCATCGCGCATCCTAAAGATGTTTATGTCACTATGCCTAGCTTTTCAATGATGGTAAGCCCGTTGTAACCTGTTAATTTTTTTTAGAGAGAGCGTACCATCATTAATTATTAAATATTATTTGAACTATGTAGCTAAATGCGTGAAATACATTTCTTCATACTCCGAATAACAGAATACTTTTAATGTATGAAAATTCTGATGATAATACTACCATCCAGGTAACAAATTCCATTCCGAAATGAAAATATTAATATCTCTTAACATTAATTTTCCAGACCTCAGTGTCAATGATGAGCCACCATCCATATTTGAGTCGCATGGCGTTCAACATGCTGGCCAAACAGATTAACTCCAAACCAATGGTGTCCATAGAAGCCCACAACTACCTGTGGGGCTATGAGGACACCCTTCTCACCTTGGGGCACACTTTCATGCCTAGTTGGATACAATTTGATACTTTGGGCTTGTTGGACAGAGTAAGTTCAAGAACTGAACAAGTAAAAGCAATTTTCGAAAATATTTTTATTGACTCATTCGACATGAATACAGTAGAATTATTACAGGGAAGTAAAATGATCTAAAATTTTGTCTATGTTATAATGCAAGAATAGCAAGGAACGTAGTAAATTGAAGTCTGTAGTGTCTGCCAATCTCTATGTTATATTGTGATGAAGGAAATACGTATTTTTCCGGCGAAAAATACGTGAAACAAAAACTTAATTACGTTAAACTTAAAACTTAATTACAAACAATTAAAAAGATCATCTTTCAGATGTATGACAAAAATCTTGAGTACACCCTGGAGGTAGGAGCAAAACACGAAGACAAGTTTTTAATCAAACAGTTGGACGGGTATGCAGGATTAAGAAACTGGAATTACGAGGATCCAAGTGAAAGGTAAATAATTATCAGCCCAAAAGTTACAAGTTTACCCAAAGTATTGGTTGGAAATCAGCAGAATAATGTTTTGTAAACAGAAATGGGCAGTGGGTTAAAACCCAATCAACACGCCCGGGTTTTAATTGTGTAATTACCCAAAGCGTTTTAACCCATTTCCACCCAAAATTGTGGGCGGAAACGGCGAATATGGAATTCAGCATAATTTTATACTTATTACAAATCGGTGAACAAAAGTTTTTTTAGGCGACTTCACACAATATCCACCTAGCAATCCTGTGGATTCTCACTAATAAGGATGCATGATTTTTAATTTATTTTTTGATTTAACGATTTTATATGTCGATTAATTGAAATAAATCGATACACAAAAACGCGATGTAACGCGATTTTCAAGCGAATCATAGTTATAGTTATTGCATTATGTGGTACAGAAAAGGTCTTAAATGTATTACATTTCCTACATAAACCCTGTAAGGGCACTGCAACTTAACTTACTTTACTAAGTATATTGTCTATTTTTATTATAATTATTTAGTATTAGATCCATTTATATATTTATCGATTTATAATCAAACACTCCTGTAAATTATAAAAACAGTTCGAATTTCAATTTATTTGTAAACATTTCTTTCCTTATCCATATTTTTTTTATTTTGAGAGGTATTTTATTATAAACTTATATTGCCTGGCCATATGGTATGTACCTGAGCTAACAATGTGTACATTTTTAATAGAGCTAACAATCGGATTCCTTTTTCTCAAAAGAGCTTTTAGATATCGTTTCAATAGAAAGGCAAATAGAATCATGTAGACGATGCTCAGACGAACTTTTTGAGTTGGTGCCTCCGTCACTCTTTTACCACTGCACGACCCGCCGAAGGAGAAGACTCCATCCCCACTTCCTCGATGCTTGGCACGTCACGACCACTCGAGCATCTCGTTTGTTCCTTCCCCGAACCAGTAAGATGTGGAATGGCCTTCCTCCTGAAGTGTTCCCCTTGCGCTATAACATGGAGTTCTTCAAAAGACGTGTAAACAAGGTTCTCCGGAGTCGGCAACGCATGGGTGATGCCTCTGGTATTGCTCGTGTCCATGGGCGACAATGACCACCTCCCATCAAGTGGCTTGTCTGCTCGTTTGCCTACTAACTAACATAAAAAAAAAAAAAAAAATAAAAACGAGAAAGCAATAAACATTTTGTAATAATATCATTAAATTTGTACAAAATTCGATTCATAACAAATATTTAGTTGTAAATCGGTGTGCTTTTCATAAAGATTCTCGAATGGAGACAACGAACCGGAAGGCGTTCAATGGGACGGCCCCCCACTAGACGGACAGATGACCCGATGGGTAAACCGATGAATGCAAGTCACATCCGACCGACTAGTTTGGAAATCTTCGGCTTGGGGTTGGGCTATTTCCAGCAGTGGACGTCTTCCGGCTGATATGATGATAATGAAGAGTTTTGCCTCGATTTCGGGCATTAATGGGTTGTAACACGTTTCAATCAAATTTATCAAAGTGCAGAGTTATAAACCCGGGCGTTTGTCCATGTCTGATTGTAAAATTAGTGCTAGAATTCAGGATGGAGTCAGTAAATAATGAAAACACAAAAATTGAAATTAGTAAAGTAATAACAGTATAGGAAAATACCAATACACAAACATGCTGTACAGCTGTAGCATTGTTAAAACTACATGTGAATTTTTCAGGACCAAATGCAACTCCTTCATAAATGCCTACGAGGGCCTTGTCTATTCTACCGATCTAACTCCTGAGACCCCCCTCAGGATCTTTAGAAACGTCCTTTGTCGTATGTTAGAGCTAGATTACCACGACACCGTAACAATGGACTACGGTCCAAAGGCTTTGTTATACAAGATCAGTAACAGAACGTTTCAGAATGGTCCAGACAAAGAATGTACCTGTCAAAGGGGATTGTGTGTTGACGGAATATCGGATTTGTCCCCTTGTTTTTATGGTAAGACTCCAGACTCTTCATTTACTGAAACAGTAGCTGAGGTCATAGGAAGGTTTAAAAACTTTTGATTTAGATTAGAGATCTAGGTTACAGTACTACTAGGGTACAGTTTTCAACTTACCTAAGAGTCATGCATTATCTATGCGCTCTGACCGCTTCATGTCATGTGTGCGTGTGTCTGTTACTGTGGAAGTGTGTGCATCAGTATGATAACTATATTCTATTTCTAATAGTATTTTTATTAGGGTTATATTGTGATTGTAATATTCGTGATTAAAGTATGAAATTGCCGTTTCGTACTGAGAAATTAATAAGTTTTTTTTTGTAGTATAAAATTTATTTCCGAAGTAAACATTTTATTAACTTTAGTAATAATATTGAAATCATTTTCAGGATTGCCTTTAGCGTTATCAAACGCCCATTTTCTGTATGGTGGACCTCACTTATTTGAACGTATCGAAGGCTTGAAACCTGATGAGCAGAAGCATGGGAGCAAAATCTTGATTGAGCCGGTAAGAAAGTGTTCAAGCTTTATGCGCAGACCACACCGCGAACGCAGCCAGGGCATCTTTTCATACTTTGGTTCATACCGCGAATTAAGGTAACTGAGATAACTAAACGAACCTAACGATCCCGCTAGCTATGTAAAATATGTCGCCCTTCTGCCACCCTTCACCCCCGTACGTATCCACATGGTCGAGTGGCTTGCACACCGGTTTTCATGGTGTAGCCATCTCTAAGGTCCCGGGTTCGATCCGCAGCCGGGTCAGTGTAGAAAACTAACATTTCTATATAGTCTCGGGTCTGCGTGTTTGTGGTAACGACGTTGTTACCGATTTCCATAAAACAAGTGCTTTAGTTCACTTTGGGATCAAAGCAACGTATGTGATGTTATCGAATCTATGGGATGTTGGCAACTGTCTAGTGCAGTGACTCGCTGACAGCGACGAATAATTTAAACCTTTGTCAGTCGTTGTCAGCGGGCCGCCAGAGGTTTACATTATTTTACCAAATTGTGAATTATATTTAAATATACTATTTAGCACTTTCCTGATGTTATAATTGTCCGTATATGTATATACTACTTACTACGTATTTTCTTAGATTTGCATGCAACTACGTGAGCTTAGCTAGCTAGCTACGTTCACGGTGTGACCGGCGCTTTAATCTCTATAAATCGTTATGCTTGTGACGATGCGACTTCTTTCATCATTCACCACTTTTTTATTACCTTGTTCTCTGGCTCCTGGCCACTTACTTTGAAATTTTAAATCGTTCTTGAATTCCTTTTTCTTTGTTCGTCACTTACTTTTCTTCTTTCCATCACCACTCTCTACTAAATTTCCGAAACAAGCACACGTGCTCAACTTGACATAAAATTCTGATCAGTTAAATCATGTAACCTAACTGCTTGTAAAGTATAGTGTTTCTAGATATTACAGACCCATTTGGGGTATGTTTCTTTTTACCATAAGGGCGTGTTTCCACTGCAACGACAGATAGTCGTGCAGTTTACAGTATCGTGGATTGTATATTTAAATGAAGTTGTACACATATATAACGACACGATTAACTATCGTTCACGATTTTTTTATCGCTACAACGGCAGACTGTCGTGATAATGGGAAGAGTCAAAGCGACTGTCGTCATACGATAAATGTCACGTTTTTACCGTGACAAAACATCACGGTAAAAACGTGACTATAGATAGCCGCAGTTGTTATTGTCGTCACGTTTACGACTAAATATTTGTTGTGAATAGAGTTTTGTTCAAATTGAATGAAACATATTATTACAAAATATTAAATTCAGAAATAGTTCCAAAATTGTCTCTTATCACATTTGAGTTCATCTATAAACGTTAGACACGATAGTCGTTCAACGGTAAAATAATCGTCCACGACAGATAGTCGTGATATACCCTAAGTATATATATACTTTAAGTAGGGAGTGTTTTTATATGATTCTACCTGTTTTTGTCTCGTTGTTTTACTTACAGCCTTTACGCCTTTTTCTTTGCCTGTTCTTTTTCCTTCTTGTACTCTTTCTTTATTTCCTCAACAAAGTTCAAGCGGACCGAGTCTTGTATGTAATTACGCGAGGCCCGCGTCGTCACGCGGGTTTGCTATTATCTTGCCAGTCTCTTTAGATAAGGTCTAAAGTTGCAGGCGAAATTATTCCAAAAACGTAGCTTTTGTCAGAATTAATAGCCTTGACATTTTATTAGGCTTATTTTTACATTTGGGTAAATCAGTGCTATTACTTAGAGAATTGTTAGAACAACAAATAGTAACAACAAGTAGTAATAACTCCTGCCTCGATTGTCAGTACAAAGGCAACTTCTTACGAGAAAAAACGGCAAGAAACTTAGTTTAAATTTTTATTGAATGGATATTCAATTAGGAAATGAAGTTTCATTATAATAGGGGTTAAAGTAGAAATTGCCGATTTGTACTGAAAATCTAAATTGTTTATTTTTTAAATTTTTAACAAATTTATTTAATCAAAATAGTTGACATTATTATCTATACATTGCTGCCATCTAATGGGAAGGTTATTAATGCCTTTGCGATAGAACTCCGACGATCTAGACTGCACAAACTGTGTGAAAGCATTTTGTACTGCCTCCTGGGAAGAAAACTTCTTGTCACGTAGATAATTGTCCAAATCACGAAAAAAATGGTAGTCCGTTGGAGCAAGGTCTGGTGAATACGGAGGATGACGAATGGTTTCTAACTGCAGTTCCTGAAGGGTCAAAATGGTTTCTCGTGCTGTGTGAGGTCTCGCGTTGTCGTGGAGCAATAATGGTGAAGATCGATTCATGAGTCGGGGCTGTTTTACTGCTAGTTTTGTCAACATGGTTCGGAGTTCGGCACAATAGACATCTGCCGTTATTGCTTGACCAGATCGGAGAAAACTATAGTGAATAACACCATGCTGAGACCACCAAACAGTTACCATTACCTTTTTATTGGTAAGTTTTGCTTTAGGACACTGTTGTGGCATTTGACCTGGGGTCAGCCATTGCATTTTTCTTTTCCGGTTATCATAAAGAATCCACTTTTCATCACATGTTACAATTCGATCCAATATTCCTTCATTTCTGTACCGGTTCAACAAGGCAACACAAGTTTCAACACGCGTTTCTTTCTGCAGATCAGTCAAATCATGAGGCACCCATTTTTCGTATTTTTTTATTTTATTGATTTGACGCAAGTGAGTCAATATTGTGGGTAAGGTAACGTTAAACCATGCCGCTAATTCCTGGGTAGTTTGACTAGGATCGGCTTCCACTATCTCTCTTAATTCATCGTTATTCACCTGTGTGGGCGGTCTTCCTCGTGGCTCGTTCTTTAAGTCGAAATTTCCATCACGAAAGCGTTTAAACCAAAATCGCACGGTGCGTTCATTAGTAGACCCCTCTCCAAACGCAGCATTGATATTGCGGGCTGTTTCTGCCGCGTTAGTTCCGCGTCGGAACTCGTATTCAAAAATCACTCGAATTTTCGCAGTATCCATCTTTCTTGTCTAAATTGAATAACAAAAACAATTGAAAGTCGATATACAAATGTTTCAAATTTAAAAAAAAAAAAGCACAGAAACCATTTGAAAAAAGTTTCATTCGAAAACCTCAAACCGTGAAGATTCTACGAAAATTCAAAGAACCTATTGCAATAAAACGGCAATTTCATACTTTAACCCCTAATATTATATTATTATATATAAAAAATAAGGTATTTAATTAATAACTATTGTAACTATAGTGAAAAAATAGGGTGGTTTGCATTAATATTAGACATAACTGGTTGAAGACTGTACCACCTCAGTCAACCGTGACCATGGGACCTGAAAAGGGCCCGAGACGTCGGTTTGTTTGAAAAAACAAATATACACGATTTAAATCCGGAAAAATAGTTTCATTTCCTATGTGTAACAATCGCGAAAACTTAAGAACTTGATATTCAATTATTTTTGTGAAATTACTCCACTAGTTTGTTATAATTATTAATACCAAGATCGAACACTCAGAAAAAATTCCTTCGATCCGGCCGATCCTTTCGATTCCTTCGATCATACCGTGCCAGACGCTTTACCAACTAAGCCACGGAACGAACCAGCGGACCTCACGAATTTTTCTATGTGCTTGTTGTCGTGTCTTTATATTTGGTTTTTCAACGACTTTTTAGTCGTAGCGCCATCTATGAGAAATCTATGAAAGTTTTATCTAGATGCTAGAAGATGTCGGTTCGCATCGAAGGATTTTTTTCTGAGTGTTCGATCTTTGTATTAATAATTATAACAAACTTAGTTTAAGTGAGATAAACTGTTTTTTCCTTTTTTTACTTCTATTTTATGGAGACTGTGCAGACAACGAACGAGCGTGAGTGTAATTGGAAATATTGTCTGATTTAAATATGTTCATACATACATACATATACTTCACGCCTTTTTCCCATCGGGGTAGGCAGAGACAACAGTCTTTCACCTGCTACGATCCTGACACACATCTTTCGCCTCATCAACACGCATCAATGCTTTCATACACGCTCGTCGGTTAAGGGTACTCTTGACCTGGACCTTCTTTAGGATGGCCTCAATTTGGTCATGATAAGTTCTCCTTGGTCGGCCCATACCAACTTGCCCGCTCACACTCGCCTTATAAATCTATTTCGTCACTCTTCTTTCATTCATTCTCTCTATATGTCCTAACCATCTAAGCATCCCTTTCTCTGTCTTTGTCACTATATGTTCTTCCACGCCGCAACGCTCTCTTATCACACTGTTCCGTAATGTATCCATCCGAGTCACTCCAGCCATACTCCTCAAAGCTCTCATTTCTACTGCATTAATTCTACTTTCATGTTAATACATTAAATACTTTCTATTATTCTTAATCTGATTTTAAATAAATCGTCAAATAACCTCAAGCATACACACTAACTTTCACGCCCGCCAATACACATACTCTTTCTCACACACACACACACACACCCACGCATACTCACACACAAACAAAATTTCTTTTAGTTATTGTTTAGGTATAAATTATATATTTCCTCAGTACTCTTACAGCCAATACAACTAACATGTCATCCTAGGGGTCGGGTGCCTGGAGACCCATGTTACAAGCTATACTTACTTTGGGCTCCAGTATCTCACAATACATTACTCTAAGCGTATGTAATAATATATATCTCTATTGTAATGTTTCTTTGTTTTGTATTGTGGCATGTGTGGCGTGTGGTATATTTTTCCAGGCAATCTTAAAGACTTACTTCAAACATTTGTGGCAAAGTTACTTTTATATTACAGCAAACGGTTTTATTTTGTTAAAGAAACTTGGCGTAGTCCTTGGGACAACGTTTTCAATGCAAGTGAACATAGTAATTGGGGACGCAACTTACAACGAAGATGCCAAACGATTCTCCGACATGATTCTACCGATTGGATACTTTAAAATTGTGAGTACTAACTTGGTATGTCTTCTCTACAAACGTGGAAAGTTGTTAAGACACCTGTGTCCGAGTTTAGACATTTCAGACCTTCATTTGCTACAAACCTGACATATACTTTTGTAGCTACCTGTGTTGTTTACATCAGCTCTTTTGTCATGGGTTCGCTGTGTTTGTCATTGGCTTACTTTAAAAAAGTACTTTTTTATTTTAAAATGTTATATTGTCTATGGTCATTTAAAAAATAATATTTTAGACATTTTAAAAATAGGCGGGCAAATCAAAGTTTATAATTCACGAAAAACCACTCAGATCTGGCGAATCGGAAAGGTGTCGTATTGCATCGTAATGATGGCAAACACTTCAAGCCTAACGTTTGAACTACCGCCTCTCAAGACGAGGCCATGGGTTCAAAATCCGGACTCGCACCTCCGAGTTTTCGGAATTTATGTGCGAAATTTAACACAAGCTTTTCGGTGACTGAAAACATCATGATAAAGCCGCACGTCAAAAAAGTTTCACAACTCTCAGAAACATGCATGAAACACATGTGGAGTCCACAACCTGCAATCAGGCAGCGTGGCGGACTATGACCTAAACCCACGCCTGAGAGGAAACTCGTATCTAGCAGTAGGAGTTATAAATGGGTTGATGATGAATCTAAAACTGTTGCGGTCAGGTTGAGATTCTGTAAGGCGGCTTCCCACGCCCTGTGGCCCGTGTCACGACTCACGCTGCGCGTTTCACACAAACGCGCCGTGGGAAGAAGGCCGCCCGAGCTCGCCCGTGACAGCCTGTTCGGGTCCGTTCCTGGTCGATAACTTCAAGGAGTTTTGCGAGCTCACTCGTTCAAATCGGCGCGTTTGACATCATGGGCCGTGGGAACGCACCCTTAATTTTCACTTGTTTCGATCTTTACAAAATTCTTTGGACATTAGAGCAGCATTTAACAAATGAAGACATGAATTTTTACGAAAGGGGAATTCTAAAATTACACGAAAGAAGCCAAAAGATTGTAGATCAACATGACCAATACATAATTGATCAAAGTTTAGTATTTATACTTTGATACGGTACGTACGTACATACGTACTTTCGATTTGATAATATACTTAAACATTTTGTTCACAAAGAGACATAAACTTGAATTATAAGATACCAAATAACCGAAATTAGGTCACCACGTCATCGAGCCCAAAATACTGGCAGCATTCACACTTTCTAAGGCTATGCTAACACGTTGAGCACGGTATCTGCCAGACTTTTGAATCTTCCAGTCAGTTTCTATATACTATAGATATCATTTTATAGAAAAGGAGCTGGGAATACACACTAAATCTTTATTGTTTATTACTGCCTTTGTATCGTTTCTTTATAAAATTTTGTCTTCTACAGCATTTGCTACATTCTGCAAGTATATTATACCACCTCTTACATTAATTAATATATATATATACTCTTGGCAGGTTAAACCGGCACTACCAGATGAGGACAAAACAATGATGTACGACATGTACATTACTGGTCCTTATTTAGTTTTGGCAATGCAGCTAATTTTATTCATCCTGGGCATATCAATGCTTTTCCATACGGCTCGTCTTCTGTATTGGAACTGGGTCTGCAATGGACAGCGAGGCATGGAATTCCAACTATGTGAAGATGAAAAGAAAATGACCGTAGTCGACGTGGATGTGCCATTGATGAACAAGAATTCTGAATTGTTGGAAAAACATAGAATATGATGCAGTGAAGCGAATTTTCAGATTCATCTAGTATTTCACGAAGCAGAAACTAAGGGTCGTATTCCAGAACTCTACTCAATGCTCAAGTCAGGACTTGAGCAGACTTGAGTATGATTTCAAGCACTGGAAATACGACCCTAATGGATACTTGAGTATGATTTTCAGTCCTCACTGCAATACTCAAGTCCTGACTTGAGCATTGAGTAGAGTTCTAGAATACGACCCTAAGTTTTGTTAACACTACCCAAAACGATACGAGAATATAAATGCATCCATAACAATAAATCACAACGTAAAATACTGAGAGTACACATACCTCATAATTGTTATTAGACTCGAACTGTGATTGTAGTTTTGTAAATAAGTAGTTATTTATTTTTTGTGAATTATTAAATTGTAAAATTTTCAGAATTGACAGTGTATCATGGTTCCAATAACAGGGCCTGAGGTCAGACGGCTCATAAACCGAATCATCCATAGTAGACTGCCCTTTGCTTTGGGATCTTTTTTTATGATACTAAGTAATGGGACGGACAAGTGGTGCACCTGGTAGTAAGCGACACCCCTGTCCATAACAGTGCCAGGCCACTCAGAGCTTTGAATCGTTACTATGAGACATTTAGAAGTTGACAAGTCCCATGTGCCTGTAATTGCACCAGCATGACCAGCACCCTTACTTTTCAAAACTGGAACACCGTAAAGCTCATATTACTGCTTGGCGCCAGAAATATGTAAGCTAAAGTATTGACTTCTTTGGACGAACTCTTTCACAAGGAGCTCCATTGCTACTAGAACTTTTATACACATAGACAGTTTCGGTTTTGTTTCGGTCACTAAATTATCAGTGTCCAATAAAATATCAGCCAGTCCTACAATGTTGGCTACATTGGAAATCCTGAGTCCCTTGGGGTTGGAGATAAAACTCTTGGCTAATTCAGTTCACCTCGTAGAAAACTCAGTTGATCAGAATGCTGGCAGATGCATTCACGAACGAATAAAATGAGTGCGTAGGAAAAACGTCACCAGCTTCCTATATGACTTTTACTTCCTACAATGCACAAAATGTAGCTCAGGTTGATGAAAGAAATTTCTTGGGCCTTACTCTTGATAATCACTTGACCTGGAAGTCACATATAAATAAGTTAAATACTAAACTTAGTAAATACGTATACGTCCTGAAAAATCTGACGAGAATAACGTCACAAAAAACTGCTCTTTGTGCTTATCACGCCTATGTAGCCTCTAGTTTGCGATATGGTCTGCTGCTTTGGGGGAAAGCTGCTTCAACACATATTACACCACTGTTTAAAATCCAGAAGAAATGTGTCAGGGCCATGTTTGGTGTGGGCTAGCGAGAAAGCTGTGTACCCTATTTTAGAAAACTAAAGATTTTAACCCTACCATCTATGTATATTTACGAGGCTTGTGTTTATATAAAACAAAATCCAGGCAACTTTAATCTAGTGAAAACCAGACATCCCAGGAAAACAAGGAACAAAATAGAAAAACTGCCAAAACAACGCCCCACCTTGGAATTTTACAATAGAACGATGTTTATATTGGCACCTAAATTATTTAATAAAATACCAGATGCAGTTAAACAACTAAATTGTAGGCAATTTAAAATAAAATTACATAATTTGTTAGTTACACAATGCTACTACAGTATAAATGATTTTTTAATAGATAACATAAAATGTAAAATTTAACCACTGTGCGTGATTGAAATAAGAATTGTGTAAAATATTCGCATGCCAAGTTTTGGTGAATTGTAAGATCTAATAAAAATATACTATAACACCATTGTAAACTACATTTTTTAGCGAATAAATATTTTGTATTCTTGTATTCTTGACGTGGCTTTTGGTTTCTGTTTGGTTCCTGGGCGCGGTTTTTGATTTCATTTTGTATCTTTAACGTTTCTTCGACATAAAGTATGTTTAATATACTATTATTATTATTTGTAATAATTTTTTTATTAAATGTACAATAAATTATCCTCCAATTTTCGAGCAATCTGCACCTACAAATATTTGCTAGTTTTCCTAGACATTATTTTTAACGAAAGACTTGAATGTTTAAAATAGACGTTATGTTTACCATAGCACGTTGTGAGGTGCTACAGTGGAATAAGCATTTATTATTATAGGTGGTAAATTTTTTATGTGTTTGTATTTTGTACAGTTGTTGTTAAGATGTCATTCTTCTTGTTTACGCTAATCAAAAATTTACACTTGTTAAAGTAAGGCATTCACATCTCGTTAAATAACATGATGTACAGACAAACTTTGATAGTGAATGTAAAACCTCAGTCCAAAGTTTGGCCTGATGGAAATCTGTAGATTTTTCGTACTGTACGTAAACAGTCTGGAATTTCATCGCATCACGAATCATGAAATTGTATTCAGTGTAGCCTCACATTCGTTTATGTCCATTCCAGTCAAAGTCGTCAGTAGAGAAACATGTCGTCCTTGCACCATTACTATAGAATTCATTAAAACATATAAGGAGTTGGAATGTGTTTGGAGAATTAATTCGCTTTTTTACCTGTAAAATTCTTTACTGTAAATAAATATATGTTATAAAATACAATTCGCTTCATTTTCAATCATGTATTATGTAAATATATTTTTGCATAATGTGTGCTCTGTTGTTTTGCCAACTAACAGCACCTTCACTGTTAAAATAAACTTTACGTCATTGTTAACATTGCCATCAATTACATTTAATGTAATGATATCTTCTACAGGTATATTATTTTCTATGGTATTGTCGTCAATATCAAATAATTCAAATTCCGCAGCAGAAAGCAAACGTTCTTCAGAATCAGGTCCATGTTATCGAGTAGTAGTAGTGAAGCCGTGTGCGGCTTACTTGGAGTAAATCCTTCGAACTTCTGATAATCGGAGTCTTGCCAAATGGTTGACTGTGAATGCTCAGCTCATTCTAACTTTTTGAAAGTTATTATATAAATCTTATATTGAGAAGAGTCTATGATTTTCTTTGAGTGATTTTCTATTTTTATATTTGTAATGGTCCAATAAGCTATTTTAATATAATACAGTATAATATTTTAAGGAAACAGTAATTTTATATTTGTACCTACAAAACAGCGCAGTTACACTTAACTTAGTTACAAAGATTCTGTACTAACACTACATTCACACTTAACTAAACCTCACAGTTTTAAAACCATAAAGCTTCGCACGCCTATGGAAAAAAGCTAGCTGTCTGGAGCTGCTTGCGTGTTATATAAAGTGACTGTTCAGGGGTGACACAAGCTTCATGAGTAGTGCCGCTAGGACCAGCGTCCACATCTTCGTCTTCTAGAAGCACAGAACTTTCCAGCCGCTGAACTCAATCTCGACGGTACAGTTTCGAGATCATCTTCGTCTGAAAATAATATTTCATTACCGAAGCTCACTTGCTCAGCTATTTTTATCGTTCACCCATACCCAAGCATTATACCTTCCATTATCATTTACTTAATGTATTCTTCGACTAACCACATGCACATCAATAAATGTCCTCACGTTCATCGATCTAAAATAAAACAGAGACGTGTCTTATTGATTTATATAGGAGAACCCCTTGATTGGCTACTTTTGAAATTGAATAAATGTGTAAGGTTAAGCGGCTTTACTAAAAGCAATAACGTACTGAAAACTGAATAACACTGGAATTCCCCAAGGTAGCCTCTTAGGTCCATTATTGTTTTCTCTCTACATTAATGAACTTGCACGTGCGATTGAATATAAATGTATAAAAAGCGCTGAAAGCATAATTTTTTTACTGTAGATGGATTAATGCATTTTTTTGGTTGACAATCGATAAGTACCTAACCTGGAAGAAAACATAGAACGTATTTATATAAGACTTAACACGTTTGAATACGATCCACGAAGACCGAAACAAACTATGTCAGGAGCATCTGCGATTATCTGTGGTCTGTAACGATCTTATACTATGAAGAAACACTAACAAAGAGCGTTCAAAGTTGAAAATGTATGTATTTAAGTTTAATGCAGGATGTTTCACCACCCTGATATTCAATTATTTTTTGTGAAATTACTCAACTAGTTTATTATAATTTCAATACAAAGATCGGACACTTAGAAAAAATTCCTTCGATCCGGCTGGATTCGACCCGACGTCTTCCAGCAAACCGTGGCAGACGCTACGCCAACTAATAGTATATATGTTCGAGCGCACTACGGCGCGGCACAACTTAATCTAATACAATATAACTAAAACAAATGTAAATAAAGCTTTTATTGTATTAAAATAAGCATTACGAAGGGAATCTAACAGGGCGTTACAAGATTAGATCACGTCAAATCAAAAAACATCCACATCAGAAGCAGATTTAAAGTGAGACCTATCCCGGAAAAGTTGCTAGAGAGCCGACTTAGGTGGTACGGACATGTTATACGACGACCGCCTGATCATCATATGACAAGAAAAGTCCTTGTAATGATTAGCCAGCCCAAGGGACGTGGTAGACCCCGCCTCACATGGATATCCCTTATTAATAAAGATCTGCAAGAGCATCAGTTAAGACCACAGACGACACAGGACAGACCGTCTTGGACAAGAGTGACCAGAAGTGCCGAACCCAAATAAATGAAAATAAGACCAGGCAAAAGAAGATTAAGTAGGGAACATAAATTATACAATCTTCATAGTAAAGCTATAGCCCAATGCGTAATTGCGATGCCTAAACTAAATAAATGTGTACCTGTGAGCAATTTTAGGCATCTTTTTGGGCAAATTTCTTTATATTACAGCTTAAAAAGAGATTTTCTATATTTAACAATAAAATAATTAGTAGTTATAAATTAATGGTTAAAATGGTTAAAATAATTACGAAACAATTTCTAGCAAGCCCTCTGTTTGATTATAAGTTTTACTCTTAAACCAGAATTTGTGTGGTTTGATACAGATGCAGACTGTTAAGCCCTCGGAGAAGATTGGTCGGGAAAATCAATTTCTCAAAAACGACTTACTGAAGCAGTTAAATTGAGTATTTATACTCTGTGATCT